GATCCTTAATCATTCTCCAAACTTCACCAAGTGATTGCCCCTACAACGGTCACCCCCTACATAAACATGTGGTAGGGAGGCAAGAAAATTAAAATTAGAGGGTTGATGAAGAATGGGTAGAGAAATATGTGATGGAGAAGTGGATGGAGGTAAGGTTGGTAGCTAGGGTGAGGTGTGTGTAACACGGTCCGATTTTAAACGCATATATATGGTAAGACAGCTGTCCATAATGGCCTAGGGGTGAGTATTAGTGGCTATGTAAAAAGTAGGATGTAAAAAAGTACTCCATCCGTCCAGAAATAATATTCTCACTCTACTTTTTTTCGTCCAGAAATATTTTTCCCACCCTACGTTTTTATCAACACTCTTCCAAAAATACCTTTCTTTCTCCTTCTCCATTTCTTCTATCCAATCACCCCTACCCTTTTCCTTTCTCTCACACGACTTGACCATTCCCTTCCCTATCTTTTTTCTTTTCTTCTCTCTTATTCTTTCTCTCTTCCCCCTCCCCTTCTTTTTCTTTCTCTTGGTTTGTTTTGTTCCTCTCTCTCTCTCTCTCTCCTTCTTCTTCCTCTTCTTCTTCTCATCTTCAAACTCCTATTTCTTTCGTTTTTCCTCAAATCTCGCCGTTGTCCCTCTTTTTTCTTCTTCTTCTAAATCTGTATTAGATCTGTGGGGCTAGCTGCTATTGTATAACAGACAGCGATGGTGGAAGCTAGATTCAATAGATCTATACTGGATCTTTTTCTTCTCGTAGAGCGACGACGGGCTGGGCAGAGATGGTGGTGGGCGGCGGCGGGCTGGGCAGAGATGGTGGGCGGCGGTGGGATAGGGGTGATATTAGTAAGGGCATTTTAGACATTTTAATGTGAGAGTCAACACTCACTAAAAATGAAGATCAAACCGGGAAGTTTAATTCCGGACAGAGGCAGTACTTTTTCTTTAAAAGTCATCATTTAGCACGCTTATACAGATGGCCTAATTAATGAAATTGTGCCTTAGACTTGGCACATTCCTACATGCGATATTTCTTGGGCATTGCATATGTAGAGATCTCCAAATCTTTAGAATCATGTGTCAAGGATTCGTTCCCCTCCAAAATTTCTCTTTAAATACCGAAATGAAAATTGCATGTGTCAAATACACAAACATTATATTAGTGTCAATTGAAACTACAAGAATTTGTCAAATCTGCAATGGACAAATTATGTCGCAGATTTGAAAATTTTGTAACAGATTCATAATCTGCAACGGACCTGCGACAAACTTTGTCCGTCGCAAAAAACTTGTCGCCAGGCCAAAATCTGCGACGGAAAAAAACATCTGTTGCAGATCTGCGACGACATTTGCAACAGGTTCCTTCTGCAGCATTTTATTCAATTCTGCGACGGACACTTTAGTCCGTTGCAGATTCCATCGCAGATTTACAGCAATATGAACTAGCTTCTACAAATTTTACTTATTTATTAGCCCAAGCACTACACTAACCAATTTTTCAAAATGAAAGATCACTAGAAACATTTCAGTGTCATAACATCATTACACAAGCATAATTATAAATATTTTTGTTATATCTTAACGAGTCATTAAAAAAAATTAAATATCATAAAGATATACTCGCTCCGTCCCAAAAAGTCTTTCCTGTGTTTTATTTTTTGCGCATCACATAAAACACTTCTATCCCGCCTTGAATGCCAAAAAAACTTTCAAATTAACTTCTACCCACAATAAAGAAGAAATATTGTAAATTTTAGGCATTTTAGATGTAGGTAGAAGTGTTTTATGGGATGCGCAAAAAATGAAACAGGAAAGACTTTTTGGGAGGGAGGGAGTACTTGATATATATGCACCACCTGTCCATGAGTGTGTAACCTACAATTTTTAAGTTCAATTTGGTATCAATGCAAGACAATCAAAAAATGTGAGCTTTGGTGAAATTCCTCTTCTTTTGTGCATTATTTAGTATTCTTCCTGTTTGCAAAAATGTTCTTTAAGCCTTTTCATACCATGTCATTTACAATATGGTATTAAACACATGAATATTTTATAGAGCTGATTTGAAAGGAAGCAAGTTAATTCATTTGAGAGTAAATATTTGTTAACAAATCAAAACTAATATGATTTTCAATTCAATTGCGGAGCTTATACTGAGTATTTGATTAAATTATATGTAGTATTTAATCATCTATGAGCATATTTCAAAACTTTACCAGGAAATAGAAGCTTGAAACATATGTGTAAAAATATTATAGAGTACCTGCAAATGAAATGTAAACAAATGAGATCTAAACTATAACATTATATGAAAAAAATACCATGTGTATGTTATTAGATTTTTTTAATTTTGCCACAACTTTTGAGGAATGTATTTAGATGGTTCCCCACTTCATACTATATATTCACATTTACACACCTTAGAATAGTGTCAAAACGGCATATACTTCAATGCTAGGAAATCAATGTTCACAATTATTCATAGGAAATCATATTTTAAGATCTTCTACACTATTCTTTCAAAATATATTGTATTTCCTTATGATGGTTAGGGTTTTAATGATTTCAATGAAAAACTATTTCTTCTCGGGTTTAGTAGCTTTATAATTCAAAATGCATTTAAGGAATACTGAAATCATAAGAAGTTTTAATCTCTTATAGAGCTAATTTCTTTGCTCTAAATATTTCAAATTGTTCTTCTCTTTCTGTTGAAAAGTCTACTTTTAGAGTTTCAAAAAGATGATTTTAAATTTTGAAGGTGGATGATTTTAAGGTTGCTTTTGCAAATTAAAAAATAGCTTCTCTTATAGTTTAAAAGAGAGGATTTTAAGTTTTTAAATATCTACGATGCTTTAAGGGTTTGAGGAGTTTATGTGCGAAAGGCTTTGGCAATTGTTAAAATAGAGAATGATTGAATTGATTGTCATTCTCATTCTATTTGGGAAAAAACACCTACAGTCTACAGAAAGAATAAAATTTAAGGCACCCTAAGAGTTCATGAAATCTCGAGTCATTACCTTAATTCTAAAAAAATTTCAAGTGAGATTTGTTAATTTTATTTCCATTTTCAAACAAATTTACACCCTTTTTATAATTTAAACTTTTTCATGAACAAATGTGCATCCATTTAAAAAAATTACAGAGTAGATTGAAAACGAAAATTCAAAGTAGATTAAGAATCAAAGCAAAACACAACCAAAGTGCAACCTTAAAAAATAAATATACCTTCGAAACAATAAATAAGTTTCAAATATCATAGAGAAAAAGCTTGATGGATACCCAATATTTTCCCAAGGACTGTAGATCGGTCTAGGTCCAAATATAAGTATCCGGGCCTTATAATATTGAAAGATAATACGAGAATAATAATTAATAATAATGGAAGTACTCCTCACAGAATAAGAACTCAAACCGGCAGTCCTCTCCTTTATTCGGTCCACTTAGGATCAGAATATACTCAAGGATCGCCGGAATATCTTTTATTATTACTCAAGTAATTTCTCCCTCTATTACAAGAAGATCCCTCCTCTCTTAGTCCCTCTCTCTTTTATAGGTGCTCCCCATCCACTCTCTTTTTCAAATAATCGCAGTGGTTGGGGAGGATATTCGTGCATGCCTTGCTTTCTTCGGGGGGATGTATCTCAGCTTGAAACCATCCACTGGAGGACAAGCCTTCCGTCCGTCTCTTGTTCCCTGTCCTTCGTCCGTCCCTTTCTCCTCGTCCTTGTCCCTCCAATTGAAGGGGGGCCTACTCTAATCTCTTCCATAGGATTCCTTCCTTTTGGGTAGCTTGTTCCTAATGGATTGGGCTTCAGCCCATCCTTAAGCCTCAATCCTTTTCCTTGTCCTATCTTTCCTCACGGACAACTTTCCTTGACCGACCCAGTATATTTTCTATGGGGCAGATCCTCTTTTCGATGGACGGGATCTAAATTGGGTCTAAGCCCAATTCGCTGATACTCCCTCGATGGGCTCGGTTCCCATCAAGGCTATTAAATCCTAAGAAGATATATGGTAGATTCATACTCACGTTGCCAGGATCTGAGAAAAACATTTAAGTTTGTCATATACTAGTATTTCATTTATTTCTTCAAAAAGAAACAGAGATGCATGTCAAAAGAATAGATGGTTTTCTTTTAGGTATGAGAAAACTTAAAACTAAGAATTCTCAACCAAAAACTTGAAGATGAAAGTAACAGATCAAAGAATTCATCGGCAAAGTTATATAAAATCAGGGATTAGTACATACTCCAATGACGAATTTGAAAAGAAATATGCAATTCAAGATGAAACGCTTACATAGCCTTCCGCAACGACTTCATTTCCGACAGTTGTAATGACTATGATTGTGAACTAGGATTCTGACGAAAGATCACATTTGTAAACTATATTTATCGTAAAAAGCGATTGTAATTCACAAACGACGTAAATGGAACAACCTTTGGAATTGTGTATGACAAAGAGATATATTATCATTTTAAAATTACACTTTTAGCCCTCAAATTAAGACCAATATGACAGAAGATCAAAAAAGAATTATTTGTGGAAAAGTACTTATAAAAGAAGGACCACTTAAATAATATTTAATAATAAAGGACTAAATAGGAAAACCTATTGATATAAAAGACCAATTATAAAATTTAATCGCAAAAAGATGTAAAATGCAAAAATCAGTTTTTACATTCCCGATGAAAGCAAACAAAATTTACCAATATTACCCTACAATGGTTGTTTAATCACGTGTCACATACCTTAAAAAAAGTTTCGGAGTAAATTAAAATTCTCAATGTTTAAGAAAGGATTATATTTCATATCAGAATATATGAGGAAAAAATGAAACTTTATTTCAAGAGCTCATGCTAAATATATAAATTAAAAATACTCCAATATGGAGTAAAACCTTGTTTCAAGAGGAAGCTCATACTAACAGTTTAAGCCAATTTATAAGTTGATAGAGTTAGTGATTGGGTTCATTGAGAGTCATAAGACCAAGTCATAGTAATTGTAAAATTTCAGTTGTCCTGGGAAAAACACAATGAGCACAACATGATCTTTGGAATATTAAAAGAATTCAAAACAAACAGGGAGAGCTAATCGGAAGTGTAGATCATAAATTGACAAAGGTACATAAATAACTGGTTCTGGGTAAACAAAACAAGCTTTCTAATAAAAGAAACCAAGAACTTTCCCACCAACATTCTTGCGCCTCGCTTCATCGTGGTCCATGATGCCCACAGAGGTAGTCAGCACAATGTAGCCAAACTGCCAAGGTCAAACAAATGTTCTTTGATGAGTACACTAAATGTTATAAACAAAATTCGCATGAGATATAACTCAGCAATGGTCTGAGCGAAAATGGAAGAATGCAGAAGTTAAAATCTGTTTGGGAGCCATTATCAGCTTGTTTGAAGAATAAGTAGCTCGTGGACTTGTTCCTTTGACGGAAACGAATGCTTAAAAGACTTGAATGTTTAGAAAACTAAGATGTTTTGTTGTACTTAAAGCCACTCATAAAGAAAGCAATAAAATATAGTTCTCATGGCCAGTCCCAAGAGGTAATAGCCGACACGGCTCCCCAAGGCAACAGGAAATAGGATTGCACCTTTGGATAAGCAGGAGTCCTCCCATTTGCATGAGTGACTCAACTGATGACATCACAATGGAGCATAATGTGTGACAATTTCCAAAACTTGCGTCTTGCAAGCATTTAAGGGCTTGACCCAATTAATTTTTGGATTGTCACATCCACCAAATATGCAACTAATTAAACAACATTTTATGTTCGAGGTGGTAATTCATTATTTGATGTTCCTCAAAAGCTTGTTAGAAGAATAAGTAGCTCTTGGACTTGCTTATTTGAGTGATATGAATGCTTAAAGGACTTGTATTTCAGAAACACAAGATGTTTTGTTGTTGTTAAAGCCACTCATAAAGAAAGCTATAAAAATGGACTTCCCATGGCCAGTCCCAAGAGGTCAAAGCCAACACAGCTCCCCAAGGCAACGGGAAATGAGATTGCACCTTATGAGAAGCAGGAGTCCTCCCATTTGCATGAGTGACTCAACTGCTGACATCACAATGGAGCTTAATGTGTGACAATTTCCAAAACTTGAGTCTTGCAAGCATTTAAGAGCTTGCCCCAATTAATTTTAGGATTGTCATATTCACCAAATATGCAACTGCTTAAACAACATTTTAGTTTATAGGAAAATTGGATGGGACAGCGAGGGTAATTCATTATGTGCTGTTCCCCAAAAACTAATCCTAATTTGGGTGGAAACACGGCATAGTGAGATGCAGTTAATCTCATTAGATTTGTATTTTAACCCAGTCTTTATACACTCAAAACTTTCATTTTGATGGGTTATATGCAAAATCAACATATGATAGAAAGTTACCAACACATAGATCATCCTCCTATAATTTCACATCTATCACAAACCATTTCGTACATTCATTTAATTATGAGCAACCATGCCTGATGAGAAGTAAACAACTTAACTGTCCCTAAAGTGATTGGAGGAGAAATCTAGGTAAAAGTATATTTATAAAATATCTGCACACCATAGTCACTGAGCTATTATACCTGTCTTGAAGGAAGCAACCTTGCAGTCCATCCTTTGATATCCTTAACCCCAACATCAAAACGAGGACTGATCACGCCACACTTGTTCAACCTTCCATTGAGTTCAACCACAATTTTCCCAGCTCTGTGGTCATCAACATATTCAAACTCGCCAATGTAACCTGCAAGAGCAATAGAGCATAAAAGCATTTCACATGTGTCAAAAAACCATAACAAGGAAGCAATGAACATACCATGCTTTTGCATGACCATGAGAAACTTGATGATCACTTTGGAAGAAGGTCGGATCATTCAGCACACTGATTCTCACCATCTTCTACAGATTCTAAAACAAAACCGTATGAAAACACTATATATCGCATTTCCGATTCACTTTGCTAAAAATGAACCAACTAATTCATCAATACAGATTCGAAGTGACATATGCATCAGAAAACTAAAACAAAAACACATCTATCATACAAAAGCGTATAGTTCTCAAGCATACATTAGTCTGACGCTAAATTCAAATCTAAAATTGGAATCTATTACGCGAGATGAAGATGAATAGCGAGAAACTTACGAGTCGACTTGTCCGGAAGGAGAATTGAGGAACTCCTGCGGGCGGCGACGATGAGATGCGCAGCTGAATGAAGAGGGGTATCAGTTATCTCTTCGGAGAAGTATAAAGGAGGGGAGTCCGAAGGGGTTAGGGTTTGGAGCGGCAAATGGGCTATTGGCCGATCTATTTGGTTGCATAAGTAACAAATGCTATTTCATTCGATCCAGAATTCAAGGCTTGGTCTTAGATTCTATTTTGTGTAATTGTGTCTTCGACCCAAATTCATAAAGCCCACATATCTATTTTCTGCCTACATATTTTACGTCATGGACTCATGGCTATATTCAACTCTTGGCGAATATATCGGATAAATGGATAATATTGAGAAGTCCATTAACCGCTTCTAGTGGGGCTCTGGTGCAACAAGCGAACGAGATGTCAATAAGTCTCCGTCCATATAAGACTTTTCCATTGTGTGTTATCGAGATTTGATCGACTTTATTTTCAATTCAATTTATTTAAATATAGAGATAAAATTTTAATATAAAAACTATATAGTAATAAACTACATGAAAAGTTCTACAAAACTATATGTGATTACACTATATTATTTTATGAAATGAGTAATAAAAATAAACAAACAAAGTGAAATTAAGTTTGACCCTGTGAATAGTGTCTGGAAATTAAGTTTGACCCTGTGAAATATTTGCATTAAATAGTACTAAAACTTAAGTCAGTTACATAAATAGTACTCCCTCCGTCCCCCTAAAATATTCTCATATTGACTTTTGGTGATTTTTAAGGAGAGTTGAAAAAAGGTGAAAATTTATCATAATACCCTTAATGAAATATGGGTGAAGTGTATTAAATGAGATGGGTGAGGTGTAATAAATAAAGTAAGTGGGGTAATGTTGGTATTTTAATGGTTAAAAAATGAAATGAGAAGATCTATTGTGGACAAAGAAAATGGACTATTGAGAAGATCTATAGAAGACGGAAGGAGTACTTAAATTGTTTTATACCCTAAATAGCACTTAATAATGTTCATAATGTCCAATGATGGCGAATATTTATTTAAATAATGACTAATGCATCATGACTAAAAGTGCTACATTGAGAAAAAATACATGTAATACTATTTAGAGAAAGTAATTATGTTTTAGTGATATTTTAAGTAAGTTCCCCAAAAAAATATTTTGAATTGAGTCAATACTTTTTGCTTACTTTTGCGACTAAAAAAGGATACGTGTTTGCCTTCCATTTTGATGTACGGAGCATTAGACTATTTAACAAATTAAATTTATTATAAAATTTACTCCGTATTTAATATGTAAGTTTTTTTTTCTCTACCAATTTTTGAATGAGATAATAAAAATAAAATTTACCTTGTAAATTTTAAGTGTATTTCATTTCGAGGATGTGATAGTCGTTATCATTTACTCATTTGTTTCTATGTTTTTTTATATACTTCGTATTTATTTACTTAATTAATTAATTAATTGTTGATTATTTATACAATGAATAATTATGCTCCAACAATCAATAACAAATTCAAAAGGCTACTCCTATATTTTTATATTTTGGCCTTTCATAATCTAACAACCAACATAAACAATCATTTGCCAAATACTTTATTTGGATGTTTGACTGGTCAAAACAACAAAAATTAGTCCAAAGAATCAAATGTCATTTGAAAATGCAATATCCAAACATGTCCATAATCTAGTTAGAAGAATATGAATGATATGTATACCTTGCACCCTTATTTCAGCCATGTGTATAGTAGATTAATCTCATACATAATACAGAGTATTCACTATTGGAGATATCAAGGAAAAACTTTCTGATTTGCATTGTCAATTTCGTTGGGTAGTAACAACATAGTTTTCATAATTTTACTAAGTTTAAAATTACTGAGAAAAATTAAAGATGTTAAAATCCTTTAATATAATTAAGGAAAAATTACCCAAAATAATCCCAACTTTACCCGGTCTTTCAAAAATAATCCCACCTTTCACTGTGATGCATAATAATCTCAACTTTACTGAAATTTGCCAGTTTTGGGTCGCCGTTAAATTTCTAACTGAGGGTTAACGGAAATGCCCGTTTTAGGCAACAAAATGAAAGTTGGGATTATTTTTGATGAATTTTTGTTTTTTATTTTTTTTGAAATTTTTATTTAATTTTTTTGAATTACTTTCAACCTCCATTTCTTTTTCTTTTTTAAAGATTATTCTTACCTTAGAAAAAAATATATATAAAAAATAATGAAAATGAGAAAAATAACTAAAAGCATACAAAATTAATCAAATAATTAATGTAATCAATAGAAATTAAACAGAAAATGGTAAAAAATAAAATAAATGTATACGGAGTGGTGGGTTTTAACATTTTACACAGTATACGGAGTCTTAATGTACTACTTGTTTTTTAAAAGAACAAGCCGTCTGATAAAGTTAGAATTATTGTAGATAATTTTTTCTAAAAAATAAGAAGTGATATGTTAATACTTTGTATAATGCGTAAAATATTAAAACCCACTCGTATATTTTTATTTTACTTTTACCAATTTCTAGTTAGTTTCCATTGATTACCTTATTTATTTTATTATTTTTGTATCATTTTAGTTACATTTATTATTTTTTTCATTTTTTATATCTATTATTTTTATTTTTTAAACTAAGACTAATCTTTAAAAAAAGAAAAAGAAATGATGATGGAGGTAGAAAGTAATTTAAAAAATTTAAATGAAAAATTTAAAAAAAAAATAAAAAATGAAAATTCATCAAAAATAATCACAACTTTCATTTTGTTGCCTAAAACGGGCATTTCCATTAACCTTCCGTTAGAAACTTAACGGCGACCCAAAACTGGCAAATTTCAGTAAAGTTGAGATTATTATGCATCACAGTGAAAGGTGGGATTATTTTTGAAAGACCGGGTAAAGTTGGGATTATTTTGAGTAGTTTTTTCTTAATATAATACGGAGTATTTGAGAGTTGATAGCTTAGAATTTTGACACGTGTATTTGAAAGGTTTTATTTTACTGTCAGTTTACACGTATCTTCTTATTAACCCATCTTCCAGTTCCATTTAAGAATTTCCCAAAGAATGAGATTGCCGATTCTAGGGGTGAGCGTGGTACGGCATGGTACGGTATTTAGCTCGTACCGATACCGTACCAAATATTTCGGTTCGGTATGAGATTTTACGTTTTACCGATCCCGATCCCAAAACATCGGTTCGGTATGGTTCGGGATGGTTCAGTATCGGTTTCGGTACGAATCGGGATAAATATATATGTAGCTAGTTTACATCATAAAATGTAAAAAAAACCTTTTATTTTTGAAAAACCAAAAGTACATTTAATCAAAGAAAGATAAAAAATTTAAAAATGAAAAAATAAAATGCAAAAAATGCTTATGAAAGTTAGTTTATATTTCACAAACTAAAGAGAGAGTGATAACAAAGTATTATTTCAAATATTTGTTAATATTCTTATACTCATCTACCAAAAATAAAAAAAACTCTTATGAAAGTGTAACTTAAACATAATGAATTTAAATTAAATTGTCTATATAAATTTTTTATTTAATGATAAAATATAAAAAGATTACTATTTTTGTAATATATTACGGAGTACTATATATGTTCGGTTTGGGAATTTCGGTATGGAAAGTAACCTCGTACCGTTCCCAAATACCGGACCGACCATTCGATTCGGTACGGTTCGGTTTCTTTTCTGCTCGGTATTGGTTTTTTTTGGGAAATATCGGGGTTCGGTCCTTCTCACCCCAAGCGGATTCTGCCTCCCCAATCAATCGCATGGTCTTCGCGATTTCTCCGATCTATTCAAGGCTACACGAAGTGCAATGGTAATTTCTCACATCAGAAGGAAACTCTCACAAAAGGAAATTAGCTTTGCGTTCTTTCAAAGGGAACGCTGGATTCGGCCGATTCTTCCCTCAATTAGGTATTCTCGGTCATCGGTTTTCTTTCCTAAATTGATGCTTAATTCTTCTTCTTCTTCAATTCTATCGTGCATACCATCTTCAATTGATCAATTCTACCTTAATTTTCACATATTATATAAAAAATTGTTTTAAAAATTATGCATACTGTAAAAAATGATTTTAATATGTTAATGTTTACATTAATGTAGATATGTTAACTTTGAAGTTTTACTCTTAAACTTAAATTCAATGTAAAAGTTGAACATGTGTTATGCCTTCAAAGTGTTTGAGAAAATGTCAAAATGAGTGCTTGCATTTTATTTTATTTTATTTTTTTTTGCTTTTTTAGGAACCTAACTTTAGGTTCATATAGTACTTGAAAAGACACTCATATCAATTTGGTATTTTTAGCATTATACTTTTAGGAACATTTTAGGATATGTTACCCCTAATTAAGATGAATGATTAGGTGATAGGCATCATGTGATGAATTCCTTCGCAAATTTTGACAGTAGTTGTCTTCATATCACCCTGCCTTTTGAACCTCTTATGTAACATAAAATCTCAGTGTATAGTGGAGACAGTGTATAGTGGAGACAGTGAAAGGGTAGTGGATTGAATATAAGAACTTTTCATAATAACTAATTGTGATGCATTCTTTGTTTGATATAATGAAGGAGGAATGCTTCTGATTATTGATAGAGCACTTTAAAGTTTAAACAATAATACATCTATCAATACAGTCCATGCCAAAATGAAGTTTATAAGATAAGTACGTATGCATCTTATGCCAATTTCAGTCTATTAGAAACATCTCCATTTAATTGCTTCCTGAATATCTTCCTACTAGCATTGTCTCTTCTTTATGCATGTTTGTTGTTAGTTGATGTGATACCATGAAGGTAGACCAGCCTCCATCCAAGCTCAGCGTACCCATAAAGTGTTTTGGTATGTGTGTAAATGTGAATTCTTTGTTTATTCCATGATTGAGATTGGAAAAAAATCTAATCATCAAACAACATCCTTTATCCTTTTGGCTATTAGGTGTGGCATCGGTATGCCTGATGTGGCTCTCGGTCCCGTTTGGCACCACTGCCCCGCAGTTCGAGAGTTGGTTTAAACGGCATCCTCATGTTGTGTGTCCTGATGTGTTTTTTGTTTTTGTTTTTTGTTTTTGCAATTTTGTTTCTTTCTTTATCCTTTGTTTTTTGCAATTTTGTTTCTTTATCAC